TAGATTCACTTAAATTGGCAAGTTGTATCGTTCACAAATACCAATTGAAATACACATTCTTTTATCACGGATTTCAGATGATCGACATTTCGGCCAATACTTTTTGGTAGTGAGTGTAGATCAATATTTTAACCAATAAATGAATAAAGTATCAGAATCACGTGAATTTACTATATTCTCCCTAAATGCACGCTCTCAGACCAAGGCGTGCACTTAGGGAGAGTTCACTGTATTCGAATCAACTACAGTATTATTCCATTTGGTTATGAATAGCTCGCGCGTTATTTAATGCTCCCGTCCACAACTAATATAAATACCACACCCACATTAATATGAAGTATAATAATAGAAAGTAATAATGCTCGGTCTTATTACATCCGATGATTCCTATTTAGCTAGTTTTTCGGCTTTACTTTGAATTCGCGCAAGAAATATCAATTGTAAAGGGGTATTAGCAAGTGCCCAAAGATAGAACTTTGTCTATGTGGTGATTTTATAATATTGCATTGTCTACATCTAATTTTAATTAACGAGAAGAAATACTCGCAAAACATTTAAAATTGACTGCATCGACATGGATTTTAATAAAAAGCAAGCAAACCTCTTTACAAACGAGGTCATCCCAGGCATTTACATAATTACATCCGTCCATAGCTAATTCTATCGTCTAATGTAGAACTTAAACGCATATACCCGGAATTATTTTTATGCTATATTTCCGTTTTCTTCGTCCGCTCGTACGTTCGTGCTCACCCCACCATTATTCTTCTTGGGCTTAATGTAAATATGACATTTGTATGCATGACGATACCATGACATTGAACTCTTTCGCTTGCTACTCCTCAATGGAATCCACTTACTACACTGATGGCAGAGACCTTCGGTGGTATCAATAAGTATGGTGCGCGTGTCAATTGGAGGTAGAAAGGGACCACCGGATGTAGAGGATATACCGTGGAAAAATTGTTTATGGTACCTTTTAATTTGGTGAAATAGACAGATTAGGGTAGGATGTCGCGTAAAAATCGAAACTTTTTAAAATGCACGGTTGACGCGATCGCAAAACGTCTACCATAACCTACCAAAACGCACTGTTCTTCAACTGCAACCATTTCCCAGGATCACAAATTTCACATAAACCTTCTTTAAAACGACCCGTATATCTCACCCATTGAGGTGTATACAAATCTCCCGGATGACGGAGCACTTGCTTGCGTGGTTGAGCGTCCGTCAATGATGCCGTTGGTGTTATTTTCGATGGTGTCTTTGGGGATTTTGTAACAGAAATAGAAGGAGAGAATGGAACGATAGGGAATGGCGGTGTGGACGATGATGTCCGTAGTGAGGATGCTATTGACGTGTTTAAAAGAGGAATCATTATTAAGACGATGAAAAAGTACGTAGCGAGGATGGAAACAGACAGACGTATTGGGTGTACGCGCTTACCGAGCAAATGTAGACTAGGAAAATCTACCTCTATGTGATTTGAGCCACCGTCCGAAATACAACCACTTAAGTTATTGTTATCCGCGATATCACGTATGTCCAATTGGTTAAACGCATTATCTTTCAACTCGGACTTGGTCACGTCACTTTCACTGCTCAAATGATCATATTCGTCTTTTTCTTTTCTCGAAATCTCTTCGTTCTCCTGTTGCTTTTCCTCATTTTTGTCCTCAGTCTTTCCATCAAGACAAGTTTTATCCGTTTCATCGGTGATGCGATTATCTCTATGAGCAAGTGATATGCTTAAGTCGTTGTCTATAGTGAATATACAAGATGTGGGACAGTCCCCGCAAGAAAAAGAAGGTGTGGAAGGTGATGTAACATTTGAAGAAAGTGTCGTTTGTTGTTTGCTAAGCATTGCGTGCGTACTCTCGAATAGAGTTGGAGCCTGTAATGAATTCGATCCTTCTTGAGAGTTGAGCATCTCGGCTTGAATATTATTTTCTTGAAATGATGGTTGTTTTTCTTGTTCTAACGCGTCATGCAATCTTTTCTCAAACTCCTTGTTTTCAGCCAATGTTGCATTTTGCAAGCGTTTGTTTGCCTCTACGTGTCCAGACCTTTTCCTCTTTAATTCTATTCTTGCATTTTTATCTATTTCGTTCAAAGACTGCTGTGTTTGTTGTGACGCGAGAATTAATGGATTAAATATGGCTGAAGATGCAGTTTTGGTTAGAGGTGACGTAAAAAAGGTGGCAGCAGATGTGTTAAAGAAATCGCTTGATAATATTGAGGAAGAATTGGTTATCGGACAAAGTATGTAATTTTGAATCAAAGTTGCTGGTAACAGAACGGGCATTTGTTGATGTGGTTGTTGAAATGTTAGATAGCTTGACTGGGTTGTGGTGCAAACAGGCTGCTGTTCGATCATTGGAATAACATAAGTATCTTCAATTGGAGTTTGGGCGAATGCGGGAGTGTAACTTTTGGTATTATCGTAGTAATTATCTTCGAATTGATCAATGTACTCGTGGAATACAAAATCCGAATATTGAGAAATATCTCGCGCTTCAATGTCGCTCGCTGTACGTCAATATTAAATAATGAACGATTACAGTAATTTAATAGCCAGAATTCATATAAACTGTTACCTTTATTAAATTCAACGTCCATTTCGCTTTGATCGATCGATGAACATGTTGGCGACACATGTGGGGAAACGGAAATTGGCGAAGATGAGTCAGCTACAGAATCCATCGCCTGTTCAATCATTTCTGTATTTACTGATAGAGGATTACTTGGCGTGTCTATGCGTTGTCTAGAATTCCAAAGAGTCTAAGTATATGCGAATGCGTATTTTGTATTTGTACTTAACTAATTTTCTTGACTTATCCTGTATACAGTAATTCACTCGTCATAACATTTACTCTCACTAAATGATGCTTTTGTTTCGTAACAAACTCGCTTCATACTTACTTCTCAATGACAATACAATCTTGTATTAGCATTACTTGTGGGTTATTATTAATCATCATAAGAAAACTGATCGAATCAACGTGCCATTGAAAGAATTTATATACTTGACACGTATTTGTAGTAACGCGCGTTAGATGCATTGATATCGATGATGAATGATAAAGTCGGAGATGAATCAACGTCATGATATCGATGACGGCGCTATCATAACGAAACGTGTTACGTGCCTTGAACAGGAAGAACGAAGAAACTAAATTTCAACTGTTCGTGACAAAATACTTATCCTGACTTGATGCGCCAACCGTTTTCATGAAACGTACAAGAGTACAATCGCAATAATAAAAAATGAAATCTTTTATCACATAACGTACTTATGTACCCATGGTATCGTGGGTTACATAGTTACGCGAATATAAAGATTATGTATTTGGCAGGGGTGCACTTATAGGATTCGCTCCTTTATTAAAACGGGCCAACATTAAATACATACAAACTGCTTGTTTATTGTCCTACATTTTCCTCGCTGTGAGCGCGCAGCTTTTGGCCGAACTAAAATGAAAACTCTAAAGGGAGTGGTGCTCCTCACGTTCTTTACTCTTCGTCACATTTGTCATTCTCTGCCGTATCCATCGAAGGGCAGACAGTGATGGGACAGCAATGATTTGTCTTCAAAGAAACTGCCAATGAGCTTTTACTAGAACATATATCTACGAACTGTCATTCCTAACTCGTCTCCTGCGATTACTGTATCAATTTCACTTTGACAAATATCTTGACAGATGAGTTTCCAGTGGTATGGGGTCCCTATCGCCTGTTCTGCTGTCTCTGCATCAGCTAAACGAGTAATCAACTTGATTACTCGCCATGGGACTGTCTTCAGATGAGACGGATACGAGACAATTTAACGTCTCGTCTATGCAGAATATGATTTTTGTCAAGGATTACATGAATACAAAAATCTTCGGTTCGAATGTAAACTACCTATTACCATGTTCTGTATAGTTCTAATTATTTTATTGATATTATTGCTTGTATATCCCGTCACTATAAATCCGGGATTTGTATCGGTATAGCGACGGGATTTACGTACTTACTGATCAACAAACGTCACAATAAGTTAGAAAGTCAAATAGGTTACTCTCAGAGTGAATTAACCATGAATGAAAAATAAAAATATCAATTGTACAAAATATCATTTGTTTAATATCATATAAAGTATAGCATTAAAACTTGTACTTTTAAATTTATTTTCGAAAAGACGCAACAATATTAAGCAGAGCTGTTTCTACAATTTGGCTTTGATGTCAAACTTCTCCCATCGTTCGTGAATCAAGCGAGCAATATTGTTTCCGGAGACGGCTTCTGTTTCCATAGCCTGTTATAAAATAAATTTAATCAGTGACTCATTTTAAACAAGCATTGTCTAGATGGATTTCTTAACTCCTTCCATTCGCCCATTCGTGTTAAATACGTTACCGAAATAAGGGGTTCAAAGCTGTTAACATAATAAAACCCATCTTCAATCTCCACAGGTGGATAGGTCTGGTTTGGCAACAGCTGTGGATATGCCTTCCACACCTTTCTGTAAACCCATGACCATCGTTCAAACAGCTCATCCAGATCTCCATCCATCAACTCTTTCTCGGAAAATATCTTTATGATAGCATTACCATCAGGAAGTATATGAGACGTGCCAATCGAGTTAAATTTTGTACTGGTTTTTGTTGTTAAGATGTATTCAGGAAGGGATTCATAAGAGGAGTGTTTAAAGTACTTCCAGTTTAATCGACCAATTACGAATGTAACATGCAATGTCCGATAAGGAATTTCTGGAAGATGGTTGACCTTGATGTTTTCGAAATGTATGTTTGTAAATTGCTGCCAAGTACAAAGGAGATAATTAGTATTCGCAACAGTTATAATTCTCATCATCGGTGACAACACCGCCTGCTATTAATCATAAGCATAAAGGAAACCACCTACAATCGGAGCTGCCAAGACAACAGCATCAAACACTTCGGCCTTCTCGTCACTTCCCACAACTTCATATTTTGTCTTCCCGTAATCGCTAATCTTTCTTACTTTCTTCACAGCATTTCCTAATTTCACCGTCGCACCCGATCTGTTTACGAATTCAACCATCACCTGGTAATTGCCTCCCTCAACCCCTTTTGCACCCTCTGGCGCCAACGAAATAAACCCACCGAGAGCATGGATGTCGTCTAGATTCGATCCATAATTTACTCGCGTTGCCGGTTCGACGAAATGAGACAAATACAGATGGTAAACGTTGTTAAGGTTTTTGAGATAGTGCTCAGCCGTATGTTGGGGTTCGTTTCCTAGTCCAAGCGCGTGTGAGAGCGAGCGTATATCTGTGAACGGTGATGGATAATTGTACACAGACAAAAATCGGCGGACCTTGTCTCTGGTCATGTTCTTTACCTAGATAATAGAAAAAAAGCGAGGGAATAAAAAAAAGTGAAAATTAGAAGATCGTATTGTTTGGGTACAAGAGCTGATTTACAAAGTAACATACTCTCATCGGGGCTAGTCCATATTTCCAAAGAATCTTTAATACGTTCACATAGTACCACTTTGATTCTTCAAATACGAATTGTTCTCCATCCCATCTAACAAAAAATGATTAGGTCCAGCATTAGCACGCACGTCTATCTCGCTCCCTTTACACCTGTGTATTCGCTAAAATTCCTTTTTCTTACTTACATACCGACCCTCATATCTGCCGGAGGTTTCCTAAATTTGAATCCGAATTCTTTCGACGCATTCGTCATGTGATAATTGACATCTATAAAAATGGATGCACCCACTTCTACAACGTATGTCCGATTCCCATAAGGTATTTCCAGCGCCCTGCATCGTCCACCGATATGAAAAGATCGTTCATAAATAGTCGTTTGTAAATGAACGGAAGAATTCGCAAAGGCCTTAGAGAGATAGTAGGCTGTCGAAGCGCCGCCTACGCCGGCGCCTAATCGGAAATGCAGAAAACAAACAAGTCAATCACAAACGGATGGTTTTTTTGGGAAAAGTAAGTGGGGCGGATCATCCTAAAACAATATTGGTAAACTCACCGATAATCGCAACCTTTTTCGCATTATTCCCAACCGGCTTGAATGCTTCAAAATAAGCTACGTTGCTCGTCTCTCCGTCATAAGCGTTAAAAATCAATACTAAGAATATAACATATAATACCGTTAGGAGTTTATTATTGCTTCCCAGTTTGAATGCTACCATTCGGAGACGTGGTTATGGGAAAGAGAATGCAAAACGAATAGAGAAATGTTATGTGTGAGAAACAATTGCGTAACAATTAATTGCTAACGCCAAATACTGCGGAGAATGACTATGCGTTATGTATACACGACAAATATTGATATTATTAACAAAGTGACATTCTATTATTAATTATATGACATAATAACTAATAAACGAGACTGGTATGACCAAAGGTTAACTACATTTGACATCACAGCAATAACAATTTATGTAGTACTAGGAAACGAACCGAATCATCAATCACAATCATTAGTCAAGATTATGTGCCCCGGACAGAGAAATTCATGTGACCGAAATTTATTCATGGCGCGTAGATTGTGAATAAAAGTTCCTCGCGACAGTAATAGTCCTTCGCTTTGCTCCGGACAAATATACACTCGCTACCAAAAAGTATTTGCCGGAATTTGCCGATCAATAGTAAAACGTCATTTTTTCAAAACTCTGTATTGGGCGTTATTTACTAAACAAACAACAAAAATTTTTACATCATTATGAATGTATGTTAAGAATAACTGCTATCTTAGTCACACATGATTGGTACGCCACTTAATATTATTTAGCTAAACAGATCTTGCAGATACTGTCTGGAATTTGAATAACATTGTTAGTAGAAGAAAAAGATATTGTACTGTACGTCGTTACAATGGTGAATCTAGCTTCAGTGAAATTATGTTGATTCTCGCAATTTAAGGATTGAGTTTCTATGCCCTGGATAGCTACTTTATATTAAGTGGGTAGTTATTGCTAGCATTCATTGTTAGTATTGTTATGTTCATTCATGAAAGTATGGAATGTGATATTAAAGTGATAATGGATGACAAAGATAGATTTACTTCCGAGTTACAGTTAGACTATCGAGTATAGAAGACGATTTGAATAACCAAACAAGTTAGTGATATTTCCTGGATAAAAACCTTATCTCGTGCAACTGCACAAAATGCTTCGAGTTTCTGAATAGGTTATCAACAGTTTGTAATAATGATTCTTTATTGGTGCGGGAATACAAATGCAACTGTGAGTAAAAATCATCGCATTGTAAGAGTTACTGAATGCGTTAGCGATCGTCTGTATTTGTGGGGGTGTGATGACGCAAGCGTATACGGTGACGTATTCCTTCCTAAATTCGAAATGATCATCATACTGAGCTACTCTATCTCAGTACCGCAGCAATCATATGATCAAATCGCTAGTCTCTATTCATAGCGAAACAAAAGTAGGAAACATCACGAACAAACAAGCACCCGAATGTATTCAATAATTGAATATCAATCTTTCGCAAGCACCTTGATTCCAATCCCACCACTGAATATAGCTCACCAACAGACACGACAGTCGTTCCCACAACAAACGCGACAGTTTGCAGGGTAGTCGGTATACTCAGTTTCCGATCCAATAAACTATGCAATTTACTTTCCTTGATAGCATTTCTCCAATTAATGCATGCTGGCCAAATTCTGACGCTTCGGTATGAAATCTGCCCATAGTAGGTCCAGTGTACCCGCCAGTTGAGAATCAAAAATCTAATAATTTTGTGAAAGAGGAGCAAGTAAGCGCGAAAGAGAAGCGGGCGAGCAGAGCAAAGAGAAGGCAGGCAACAGGACGGCTCAAATGCGAATCTTACCGAGCGCTATCGACAGCTTTGCTGACCTTTGGCATAAACTGGAGTGTAATTCACATGGTAAATAATGATCTAGATCTGCATCACGTTCCCTGTGTTTTATAGATACAACATGACCTGAGAGTTAAATCAGCCTCCCAAGGCAATATTTGCTGTCTGATGACCGACACAAGATATTAAGGTAAACCAGTCTCAGCAAAGATCATTGTTCTGCAATAAACTGACCTTTAAGTTAACGTGTATTATTATTATGAGGAAAAGGTTGTATTAATTTAAATTGCTTTTATATAATTCAATCCATTTAGTACGCCACTGATTACTGTACTTTCACATATTCATTTTCTTGGCTTGATATTATGCACTTGCTTCCTGAGTGCATTGTTGCTTTGAAGTATCCTGGTAAGGCAAACTACACAACGTTTTCTTATGACAAAATGCTTTATAACATAATAATAACCTATCATTTGTGATTATGTAGCCTTTTGGGAGAGCACAGATGGGGCACCTTTGCTCAAGAAATTTTTAGATTTCGACTTTCAGCTGGTGATTTTAATTTAGAAGAATCAAAAGTTGAATACACTCAGTATAGTAATGAACTAACAACCATCAGCAGATTTTACACTGAAGCATCAGCATTTGGCCAACAAGTATCAAAATGGAAAAATGATTTCAAGGAAAGTCAATTGTATTATTTATTAGATCAGAAACCTGAGTACACCAACTACCCTTCAAACTGTCATGTTTGTAGTGGGAACGACTGTCATGTCTGTTGGTGAGTTTGCTCCATGAACCACCTTGAGACTCTTTGTACCATTGAGTACACTGACTACTCTGCAAACTGTCATGTTTGTAGGGGAACGACTGTCATGTCTGTTGGTGAGCTATGCTTAATGGACTTTGGGACTCATGGTGCTTGCGAAAGATAGATTCAATAATTGAATGATACTACCTGGGTGCTTGCTTGTTCGTGATGTGGATAGGACAAATTACCAAACAAAGTCTATTGGGCACATTCACTTAGAACTTTTGTTTTATCATCAATAATAGGAAAGTAAACAGTCATCACTAATAAAGAGATTTTGGAAGATTCAGAATGAAAACCAAAATATTATGATGAAGAACAAGTTGACTGAGGAAAAGGCAAAGGTGAAGGTTCAGAAGTTGCAGGTACTTCACTCATTTTCCTACAATTCAACATGCTAGACCAAAACATTCACTCTTGATCCATTTTCCATACACTAACACAGACAGCCTAATATATAGCCATTTCCACAGTAGCAACAGAACAAATTCAACAATACTCTAAGTCAACCACTGCCAGCATTGCAAAGAGGTTCCTCAATAATGATAATGAAAAAACAGCAAAACATACTAGAACTCATAAGGTGATAACTGTTATTGGGTTTTATTGTTGTGGGCTACATTTTCAAGTTTGACCAATAACAAAATTCTAATTGATTACTCTTTGTAATATGAACAGGCCCAGCCAGATGAGGATGACTCTGAAAGTGATGAAGACCGTGACTACCTCAATGATAGTGCAAAATCCCCCACGGTAATGATGTGTTACTTGTTTTTAACTACACCTAATTGTGTTTTGTATTCTGCATATGCATCTGTCAATCATTTTGTATTCTTAGATGACCCATGAAGAAACTGATGATGAGATCGAGAATCAGAATCATGCAAGATTTCAAAGCAAGTAAGTACAAAATGCAATTCTTTGAGATATGTATAGCCTGTAATAATTCTTGTTCTCCCAGCCTATTAGGTGGAAATGACGTGAAAGATGGTAAGGAGACTTTTTTTTGTTGCTTATTCAGATACCTGATTCATAGATTTTAGCTGTTCCTGTTTATTATGCAAAAGGAACTTGAACTCCACCCCACCAAATCATTGAAACCCTTTCGAATCAGCTATCTCTCAATCCTCAAAAATCCCAAACATGGAAAGCATCTGTAGAGCTTCTGCTGAGAGTCTAGCAAGTCTGGATGGGGTTAAGGTATTTGTTTTGCTCAAACTTACTTGTTGGTACATGTGAAAAATACTCAATGGTTCTTTTTGAACAGTATTTCGGAGAATTTATTCCGCTTTTCGAAAAATACAAGGAACAGGAAAAACATAATGTGTACTCGTAAGTATTTGAACTACATTATTTTAAAAGAGGATACCATATAACGCTATGTGAACCTTTGCTCAATGTATAGTTGCACCAACGATGATGTTATGGACATCCGAGGTGACAGTGATTTCGCGAAATTTTTGACAATCAATCAATATGCAAAACTGCTTTCAGTTCGACCAAAAAGAAATGCTGCACTACTGGAATCTTGGCGTAGCATTATAGAGGAATATTATATGGTAATTGTATGACTCGTGTTTAACAAGTTTACAAAGCAGTTATTCATAGATATGCTATGTTATTTTGTAGGAGTCATTAACTGAAGGCGGTCCAAAGAAAACCATTACTGATTGGGTTCGCATCACAAATGCGTTGATTGTAGACAAAGTTGGAGATACTGAGGAGGTGAAGAGACTTAAAAAGTACCTGTATCGAGTAATGTTACCTTTGTAAGTATTGGTTAAGGTTTTATTATCATTTCATTTCCTATTGTAA